CTGCATGCTGAGAGTGACAGTGGTGCTGTGGATGCATGCTTGTTGGTAAAGCCTGGCATAAGTCTGGATCACCTGTGAGTACCTGCAAGTAGAACCGTGCGAAAACCTGCAGGTATGTTGATTTGCAGATCTCAATCACCCGTTCTCATGGATCATACTCAAATCCAAGTACTACTTCTTCAGTTACAGGTTTTAAAGCAGGTACTTGCAGTACTAGCTCACAGATTATGTCAAGTGCAATAGTAGAACAATACAATTTACATTTAGTCAACCTCTATTACATGTTCTGTTAACTCCTTTGGCTGCTTACTCTTATTCCAAAATACCTTGATAATCTTCTCCTCTGGAATCACCCCCTTCAGCCCAGCCCAAAACTTAAGAACAGAAGCAGCATGCACAAACTCATCTGACAGAGCATGATGATGCTTGGACATGGCCAGCCCACCATGAGAGAATGCACACTCGATATCGGTGGATGCTGCTGGTGCTGACAGATAGTCAAGGCCCATGCACACAAGTGGGTGGTCACCTATGAGCTGGTTGTTCCAGTACTAGATCGGATCAGAGACATGTGCAAGCATCAACACCTCAAAGTACTCACCCATGGGATCCACAGTGATATGCATGTTGAAGGCGTCGATCTCGGCAAAGAAGTTGTCGTCGCCATTGGCTGATGTCATCATGAAAGAGTAGTAATTAGCATAGCTATCAGTGACACAATTGAGTGTACACACCTGAGATGCAACTGTGCTTCCAGCCATGAGAGTGTCTGTCAGCTTATAATGCAGCTCCCACTGCTCACAGAATACATGTTTGGCCTCGTCGATCCAGTCTAATGGCCAATTTTGCTAGCAGAAGTACTCTAGTTTGTACCATTGATGGAGTACTAGTGAAGTATATCAGTAGATATAGATGATACCTAGTTCATATGCTTACTTATGGCAATCCAGTATATAACTGACTCATTAGTTTTGCTATAGTACTTGTTAAGCATTCGAAGGCCACATGCAGCCACGGCGCACATAGGTTTGACTAGAGAAGAGTCGACAATCACATTTTTGAGGTGGGTGGTGAGAGTATCAATGAGTGGGACACCCTCGTGTAGAAGTGGTGCTACTAACTTCAAAACTTGCTTGGTAGCCTTGAGAAATATCTACGCAATGAAGAGTAAGCAAAGGAGTTGTGATTGTGATGATACTGATGATGGCTTACCTATAGGATGTGAGATAATTGCTCAAGCAACTGCCACTCCGCTGTGGTGAGCTTGAAACAATGCAGGTCATTCTTTCCCTTGCTGTACTTGCTAAGACTGAGCATCACATCAATGGCAAAATGGAGTTTGAGAGCTCGTGTGATCGCTTGCGCAAGTAAATTCCATCAGGTTGCAATAGCATGGACCATTTCCTTAGAAGTGAGCTTCTGCTTCTCACAACTGGCCGCAAGGTCTTTGTGCAAGGTTGGAGAGTGGAAGACGTGCTTGGCAAGTTCAGTTAACTGACAAAATGTTAATAAAGACTCCGCAATAAATTGGCTGTTACACACCTTGGTTACAGCCGTACAACTAAGATGGGCTTTCTCTTCAGTGAGATTGTACTTCTTCTCAATCTCCTCAATGATCTCCTCGATGGAGGCAATGTCAGCAGCCTCACAGTCAGCATCCAGCTTGTATTCATCATTTTTGTCAATAGCCTCAGCATTGTCATTGCTTTCTATGCTGAGAGAGTCATTGTCATTTTCTTCATTGGTCTCGCTGGCACTGCTTCCTTTCTGTCACTTAGCGGTAAAAAGAGTGATCATTGCCTGTTGTATGATTAGCATCATCCAATTAGACGGTTGAGATATATGTCCACACCTTAACGACAAGATTTCAAATGTGTGCGAAGCAGCAAATATGTGTCTGCATAGAGTTTGCCCCTCTGAGCATCTCCAGCTTGGTGATTATCATGTTGTTATTGCTGGCATTGTTAGCCATAAGGGCGAAGATCTAAAGGCGGTGTTAGAGTAGACACAAAAGAAGACATTGCATGCCTACTTTCTTCTTGATGCCGTAGAGCTTGAGACACTCTATTAGCTTTTTGCCCAGATAGACTCCGGTATGGCCTTGTGCAAGTCTTTTCCCACATGAGCGATACAATATAGAAGATAGTTGATATGCAATGAACCATATAAAGTTCAGGATGACACTCTTGATATACCCATCAATGACATACTGGACTGTTACTTCCAGAAAGAAGATCACATTAGGGGCTGTCCAGCCATTAATGCACAAATTCAGCTGACTGGGTAATGACTACAAGAGACATTAGCTTGTCATCTGAGATGTAACAAGCACTAAACTTACCTGAAGTTATAGGCCAAGATGCTCTTGCAAAAGGGCAAATATCTCCTTGATATTCAGTGAGACAGTGATTGGTAAGAATACTTTGACTTTTGCATAGAGCACGCAAAAGATCTCCAGAGCTCA